TCACAAACAAGTTTATCTTCACCTGCTGTAAGAAACTTAAAACGACTATTATCCTGTACGGGTAAAAAGAACAGCAAAGTAAAAAAAAAGCTCGTATTCTAATATTCTCATTTGTATCTCTTCTTATGAAAAGCATGCCTTTCATTACATTTAAATTTGCTCAATTCAGAAATGTGTTCAGCTGTTATGAGTGTTAGATATTCACTGCTTCTTTTGCATTAAGAAATAAGGTAGCTTTTAACTCATCTCATGTATCGCAATTTTTAGCATCTTCAGTCAAAAAGAGAAGAAAAGAATTGCAGTCAAACACACCACAGTGCCTCAGAAAGGATGAACACTTTACTAGCAACTAGGCAGTAAAGACAGACAGAAAGGAAAGTGAACTATGCCTGAGATCTCGCATATGCTCCAATTAGACTTAAATAGTCGCTGCATTTTTACAATAATTAAGCACAAGACATGCCAAAACCAATGAAATGGGCATATCTAGAGCCAATCTTTTAAAAGATGTCATGAGACGCATCAACAGATCATGATTTTAACAACCAAGCAGAGTTTTACGGGGTCAATTCTTGGGTGGGAGACAGTTAAACAAAATCCACAATTAGCACTAAGTTATTCAAACAATTCAAACAATTCACTGAACTTTCCTCTAAATTTCTTATCAACTGGCATGACATTCCTAGGTGCAACGTATGTTGAAATAAGCATTTTCCAAAGACTCATTGTTAGCTTTTGTCTTCTTTAGAATAAGACACTTAAACATACAGTTCCTGCCTCCCCAAACTTGTTCTTGATTTCAAAGGTGAACAATACTTTTCACCCATTTACCTTGACTATATAATGCAGCGTTCCCATTTACAACTAAAACAGCTGCCACATATCACCCACCTCTGCAAGGAGCCCTTCAAATCAGTAGCTTGCTTGCTCATACACACACACTAGCATAACTTACAAAGCACTGTAATTTAAATTGCCTTTCAAATCCTGTTTGTTTTTTAAGCAGCTTGTTAAACTAAGCAAAACTCTCTTGTGAGTTTTAGGGTTATGTCCCCCTTTTTATGTATTTGATCATATAACCAGTCTGGAAAGTAAGCATCATCCTGTCGATTAACACACCTTGAAACTTTTTCCTCAGTTAGAACACAAACAGCTCCACAACCTAGCCCTACAGAATAGCAGATCTGCCAGCAAATAAATTTTTTTTTTTAACTAGATGCTGCTGCAAACAGTCTAGAAAGTAGGTTATATCTTTGTCATTCAAGCAATAAAAGTGTGCCTGCACAAAACCAGAAACGAGATTGTCCTACTTTCCATCACCCTGCTGCCTGTCCGTTTTACCCTGACAGAAGCACTAGCAAACATCCAGGCAAACTACATGAGTATTCTCAAAAATGGAACTGCATCTTCTTCCTCTGCAAAGACGATCTGGCAGTGCAAGAAATGTCTGCTAAATAACATCTCTCAAGTTATAGTTTGCTTTAACATAGTCAAGTTACACTTTGCTTTTTTTCATGTTATTAGCTTTACTTCTACCTCCTTGGACCACCCTAAGGGATTCTTCTCCATTATGTTCTTCAAATACTTGCAGATAATCATATCTCCCACTTAGACATCATTTAGCCAAGTTTCATGCATTTCTTTTCATCTTCTTTCCCTCATAAATCAATCCCTTCAGCCTCTCCAGCATTCTTACTGCTCTTCCCTGAATTTCTTCCAAATTGCTGACATCTTTCAGCGACTGAGGAACTTCCAATTGCATGCTGTCCTCCAGATATGTTTTTTGTACTCTAAAGAAAGATAATTAAGCCTTTTCAATAAATATTAATGCTCCAAGTCTGGAATAAATCTAAGTCAGAGATTTCGGTTTGTTTTTTTTTTTTTCCCCCAGAATGGATAGCAATTATCCCCATTTCACAGAGCAGAAGAGCAGAGAGAAGTATCTGAATTATTGCTGTACACAAGCAGTGCCAGAATAAGAAACAGATCCGTGTTCTGCCATTCCCAGTTGTGAGGTCTGCCAACTTTCAGCCCACAGACCACGTAATACAACGTTCCTAGGCTGTGATCTATAGGCAAACTCAAGCCATTTCCAACAAGTGACTATGGAACAACGCTTGGGGAGCTCAACACTTGCTCACATGAGCAGGCACGGTGCTGGAGGCTGTTGGCAGCAGTGGGACCATGTAACACCCTACAACATGCCATGGTCTACTATTACCTTAAGTAGTCAGGACACAAGTCTCCGATACATCTACCTGATTTTCATTGCTACGTAGAAGTTTGATTCTAAAGCCAGCTCTCAGCTATCATCAGGTTAACTACCTGAACAAGCTATTCAATTCCAGAGGTTAAGACTGGTTTTAAATACGAGAGGACTGACTGACTGCCAGGCTAAGGCAGTCCAAGGCAGTTTTCAACTTGCACGTTTCCTTCCTTCCCTTCCCACTCCCCGATACATTTGTGAAGGAATCGCAGGGAAATAACTTCAGAAGAATTAAAAAGAGCTCTTCACAAAAGAAATCTGTAAGAGAGACTATACAAGGAGAGGCAAGGCTGAAGAATGGGGGGGGGGGGGGGGGGAGAGGAGTGTGAAG